TCGATTCTCCCTTCTGAAATTGAAAAAATAGATTCTTAGACCATAGGATAACATAACCAAAATAGGATTTAGGATGACTATATTAACTGAAGAGTTTTGGCATGATAGATGGCATCATGGGTTAAACACACACACCAAATGAACTAATATATGATAAAGACTGGGTTGTGTCAATGCTTATATACAATCCTTTAAGAAAATTTCTGGTTGTAAGAAATATGCTGCTGATTTAAAGATTTTATGTAGTTGTTATTTCTTCTTGATGTTATATGTCACATCACCTAAGGACATGTAATGATTCAAGTTTAGGGGTGTGATAACTCATTTTATGTGAGATATTTAATCCTTTTATACTTGAATTTTAGGGTAATTTATATCTTGAGTAATGTTATTTATTTATGTTTTATGTTTCTTTAGTTAATTTAAGATAGAGCATACTAGGTGCTCTCTTTTGTCAAATTTATGTATTTTATGCTTGTGTATAATTAGCTTAGGTGACGAGTTCTGTCACAATAAGAATTCTGGAACATCATCTAGCAGACCTTGATACAGAACATGCTGGTATGAGCTCTTAACTTTAGGGTTGATGCTCATGTGGAAGATATTTGAGAAGAAAATATGGCTGGGTTAGAGAGAATGAATGTATAAGAATGAAATGCTACAAGAAAAATGAGAAAATAAATAGATAAGGACGATACACTACAAGACAAAATTATGCAAAGCAGTCAAAGTTTTTTGTTGATGTTGTACTACTACTACTCATGCATTATTGTTGTACTGCTATGCTACCACAATATCATGTTGTCTCCTATGTGCAGTGTAATATCATAGTACAACACAAAGTAATATGCTTTATTCTTTGGGCTTAAGTTAATGGATCATCGTAAAGGCCCAAGAACAGAAGAGGGACAATATGCAACTGAGAAAACTTTACAAATAGAGCTGCAATAGAATCAAGAAAAATGTTATGAAATTTGGAGAAATTCTACATAAGATAAATTAAGGAGGAGCCAGAGTTCTCGTTGTTGGGAGGCGTGACAGGAGACTTCGTTTGCTGATTAAAAAATTACAAGTGATTAAAGTTTCACCCTTAGGTTTATAATTTCTTCCTTCTTACTTAGGAATTTGTAGCTTAAGATCTTTTTGTGTTGTATCTATTTAATCATTATTAGCTAAAATTTCTTTGTTGGATAATGTGATAATGAATTAGTTATATTTTGAATGATATGAATGAGTTGTCTTGATATATTTTACTAATGTGAATTTATGCCATATATTTATTTCTTTGTATGGCCATCTTGGGAGTAGATAACAACTTGTTAATGTTGAGAGATCCTTTGACAAGTAGAACTCATAAGTAAATATGATTGAAAATAGTAGGATAAAGATACTCACTAGATTAGCTACTTTAGATATAAAGAGCTACAATCATAGATAACATTCAGAATGAAACCAAACATGCATTAAGGTTACAAGTGAGGCTTAGAGATTTGTCCTCTTACTTTGATGTATATTCTCCTGATGTTGTAGAGACACACCATAACATAAGATCATGTTCTGACCTCATATATCGTGACAGAACATATAAGAAGCACACATTAGAGAATATGTTGGTCAATGTTCCATTTAATGAATTCATATAATGCGTGCTTCTGATATGTTATGTCACGACTTATGAGGTCAAAACATGATTTTATGGTGTATATCTATAACATCATGAGAATATACATCAAAGCAAGGGAACATTTTCCAACATCTTCTCTATTTTTTCCACTTTCTTAACTGTAGGATCAAGCGCTTACCACTAAGCTAAAAGCAATTGCTTGTAGCCAAGGTGCTACTCTATTTCCTTATAGTGAATCCAACAAGGGGCCTACCTGTCCCACGTAACACACCTGTGTAGGCGCCCATGGGAGAATGTTAAGCCCTTCGAATCTCTAAGGTTGACGCTGGATATTTTAATCCAACAATCCCCCCCCCCCCCAGTGTCAGCCGGGGGGATTCGAATCCATGACCATGCTCTGATACCACTTGTAGGATCAAGAGCTTACCACTGAGCTAAAAGCAATTGCTTGTATCAAAGGTGCTACTCTAATTCCTTATAGCTAATCCAACAAACGGCCTACCTAGACCACCTAACACACCTGTGTAGGCACCCATGGGGGATGTTAAGCCCTTTAAATCCCTAAGGTTGGTGCTGGATATTTTAATCCAACATTAACCACGTGACACATGCCATTATTTTATCACTTTTGCTCATGTTTACTTTACAACTTCTTATTTGACTATTCTTAATACAATCTCTGTAGAATCAATACTTTTTCTTATCACTTGCTACTAATTTAACTGTGTATACTTGTACGTATCAAAATCAGCTCAACAACTGCATAAAGCATTGTATGGACACAAACAAGCTCCAAGAGCTTGCAATAAAATAAATGAATTTCTAAGGGAGGAGGAGTTTGTAAAGTGAAAAACTGGGCATGGTGTATATGTTAGAAGAAGCAGGTGTGAATTCTCATACTTTCTCTCTATGTAGATGACATGTTGATTACAAGCAACTACAAGAAGGAGATCAAAGAATTCAAATGTGATATGAGCAAGGAATTTGAAATGTCTGACCTAGGAAATATATCATATTTCATTGGTATCTAACTCTATAAGAGATGTAGGGGCTTGATGTTGCATTAAAGAAGATATGTACGTGAGATACTCAAAATATTTTAGATCGAGGATTGCAATACAACTTCGACACCAGTTGAACAAAGACTACAATTGATGAAGTAATCGAATGAAGATGATGTTGATCTAACATAATACATAAGACCCATTGGACCATTAAGATACTTTTTTCACACAAGGTCTGGTCTAGCATATAGTGTAGGTTCATGCAAAATCCAAAGGTATCACACCTTGCGGCCACTAAGAGGATACTAAGGTATTTCAAAGGAACGCTAGATTATGGAATTTAGTTTCCTGGAACCGATGTAGTAAAGGAATTCAAGCTAGTGGGATACACTGAATCAAGTTGGTGTGGTGATGCTAAGGATAGAAAATCCACAGTTGGTTATGTGTTTATGCTAGATGGTGCCCCAGTTGCTCGGAGCTCAAGAAAATAACTAGTTGTAGCTCTGCCATCATGTGAGGCTGAGTACATATATGTCTCTCTTTGTGCATGTCAATCACCATGGATGGTAAATCTGATCAAAGAGATTTCAAGTGAAAATCATGGAGCAATGATCATGAAGATTGATAATATGCCTACTATCAATTTTGTTAGAACAAGATTTGGTTCTACAATTATACTTTTGATGTTGATGATAACAACGAGTATGTTTGTATGAATAATTTTGGTACTCTAATATTTGTTATTTTTAGTATTTAAAAAACACGTTCTGATTCTGATGAAAGGAATTTCCAAGTCATTATAAGAGAATAAGTTCCGCTTTTGCGCTACACAAGTTCTGATGAACAGTAGCAAACCACTTCAGAAGGCTCTGAAGTTTAGACTCTGATACGTGGTTAAAGAAACCAAGTTTTGAAGATCTGAAGACAAAAGTTCTGATAAACAGTCCAGATGCTGGAGACTTATGTTTTTGAAGACAAAGAGTTCTAAAGACCAAGTGCTAAAGACTCTGAAGACGATGTTCTGAACACTTGAAGTTCTGATGACCCAAGTTTTATTTTCTTTCTTCTAACTCATGCTCAAATAGAAGCCTCTGAAGTCAAGAAGATACGAAGAAAAGGTTATGTGGCACAATAGTAAATGTAGAAACAAATGTTTCTCTCCACTACCATGAAAGGACAGACGCGTTGTACGATCTTGTCCCCCACGTTAAAATAAGCTACCGGCTTTCTGTAATTTTCAGAAATATCCTTCAACGGATATATTATTTTATTGTCTATATATATGCTTAAATATTAAAGGAAAAGACTGTTAATTCACACGTTCTCTCACAAGACTATTTATAAGCATTCTTTTATTTTCTTAACTCTATTGTTCTTCAAATATTGTTTACTATCAGCTTGTGTAGAAGAAAATCTATTGTAAACAAATCTTTTTTAAATTGTTGTTTGATTGTGCCTTAAGGGACCAGTTGGTCAGAATCCTTTAGAAGTCTAAGATTAGTGTGTCTTAGAGGTTGTACGTGATTCACTTGCAGTTAGCTTGTGCATTGTAATAATCTGTGAGATTATTGGATTAAAACGTTGTTTGATAAGGCGAAATCACCTTGGCGGGTGGACTAAACTAACTTGATAATTTTTAAGTGAACTAATATAAACATAACTTGTTCTTTCCTTCTTGCATCTTTAGCTTTATTATCAAGAGTGAAGAACAATTGTTTTCAGTTGAAAGGGAATTTTTTAAAGAAAATGTGATTTCGGTTAACGATTAGGTTAAAGAGAGGACATAACTTCTCTCTCTTCATCTTTTCTTTCGTTTTTTCTCAAAGAGTCCGAATGGTATATACAAGCTAAGAAGCACAGAATCCGACATGAACACTGTGACACAACACGACACAAACTCTTTGACACAGATAATGTTAATAAAAAATTATAATCATTAGTTTTTCATTGATAACATTGTTTTAATACATGTTTAACCTTTTTATATGTATGTGATATTTATCTTTAAAAATGTACAAAGTGTATTGAAACAAAGAAAAAACAAATTCTTTTTTAAATCTTTGTCTAAATTGTCTGACACCAACTTAAAGAGTGTCAAAACAAAAAAATTAAAGATGTTATAATATTATTGAACAACCATGCGTATTTGACATCACGACAAGTCTATTCTTAAAGGTGTTCGTACTTCCTAATCTAATAGAAAAAGATATGATGCCTGGAAATATTATTTAATAAAGAAAACAACATATTTAGGCCACATATAAATATATAGCATATTATTACACCACACAAAAAAAAAAAAAGGTTCATAAGCCAAAATAAGATAACACCATACAAATTTTCTTCAGCGATTGAATTATGAAAAGAAGCACTTATTTTTTAACATCATCTTCCACCTTCTCCTCCATCACCTTCTTCTCCTCCTCATCCTTCCTAAAAAGTTTATGATGAATATGCTGAGCAAAAGTCCTAGGTGGAAAACGGGCTGGTTCAGTTTCAGTAACAAGTTCTGTAAGTGGCTTAAGAATAATTTTCTCCTTAGGTGGTTCACAAAACACAGCCCAAGAAATTCTAACTTTTTCCTTATTCACCAAACCACGATGAAGAATACTCTTGTATTTTCCATTGCTGAGAATCTCAATTGTGTCACCAATATGCATGAGAATTGAACCAGGTACACATTTTGCAGTGATCCATTTTCCTCCATAGAAAAGTTGCAAACCTGGCACCATGTTATGGAGGAGGAAAGTGAGTGAACTTATATCAGTATGAGCTTCAACTCCAAGTGCTAGCTCTGGTTGAGGGCAAATTGGGTAGTAATTGATTTTCATTTGGAGTAAAAGCTCTTCTTTTCCACCAACTTCTTGCTCTAATCTTCCTCCTCCTAACCCTAATTCAAGAGATAATACTTCCATTATCTTGCTAGCTAGGGCTCTTAGTTCCTTTGCATATTCAAGTGTAACCTCACTGCAGGCATGCAAGAAAATTGTAATTGAGTATAGATAATATGCACAACTAAATTCTTTTATTGAATTTTTAATTAAATTATTGTATTTTAAAATATTAAAATATAGTGAGCTTTTAAAAAAACAATTGAGTGATGAATCATTAATATATAAATCAATATCTTGAAAATTTACATGAATAGAACAACTAAATGGGTAAGTATCTTTAGTTAAAAAAATATATTTAAATTACTCAAACCCAAATATAAAATTCATCTCAATAAAAGCAACATCTTTCTTTAACTGGTTTAACTTTCCTCTTAATTGTATAAATATAAGGAAGCTTCTTGTGTAAGAGTTTGAGTATCCCTTATATCATATTTTCAACATAATTTTTATTTATCACCTTTTTTAACCCTCCCTAAACTCAATATTCAAATAGAAAACATGATTAGTAATTTATATTAAAAAAAAAAAAAAGGAATTGAAAAATGATAAGAACAAAAAGTATATATATAGAAGAAGAAGAAGAGACTAACGTATAATCAGCAGGTGTCTTAGGCCAGAGAGACAAATCACAGTTATCTTGAGGAAAAATAAGATGAAAGAAATAATCTTCCCATTCAAGTTGACCACTAGCATTATTAGCCAACTTACTTCCATAGCCTTGAATCTTCCCAGCACTTAGATCATTAGCATATTTCTCTTTCTCTTCAACAGGCAACTCAAAAAACGTTGCACCAGCTTTCTTCAACCTCTCAAGCAACTCATCAGATATTCCATGGTTCACCAAATTCATCACCCCCCATTCCTCTGCAGCTTTCTTCAACTTGAACCTGCATTTCTTCCTCACTATTTCATCTGAAGAGTTTATTTCCTTTATATCAATGGTTGGAACTTGTGGACCTTCTTCCTTTTTCTCTTCCTCAAAGATGTTTCCTATGTTTGTTAACTCTTCTTTTGGTCTCACGTATTCCTTTGGGATTGATGATATTCCACTCAATGATAAGCTTTCAACTCTTTCAGCTATTGTTCCCATCATTAAAACAACAGTAGTAATATTATTATTATTATCCTTATTATTATTATTATTATTATTTTCTATCGTCGTAACTTGTATATGTATATTTTCTCTACTCTTTCTCTCTTGTATTTATATATACATATGTGGTGATATGATATATGTGCTTACTTCACTTTCAACTGAGAATGACAGATTAATATTGTAGAATATATGGTTTGAGTAATTTTTTAAATATTTCTGTAAGAAATTTATGAATATGTTTAATAATGAAGAATCATGTGAAGGTTAACACGTGATGAATGAACACTGAACTCAACGTTCAACATTAATTATGTAGGTAGGTTATAGTTGAAAGGTAGTTAAACCAAACCACGTGGTACTATATGCTTAACTTAATTGTCTTTCTTTTGGTCACTACGTCTCTTTCAACAACCTCCAGGCAATGCATAATGAAGGAAATGAAATGAATTCGAATTGTACTTGTGGCTAGATCAAGTTTTTAATTATTTGAAAGATGAAGATATATTATTTGAATCTAATAAATTTCATAATAATTCAGGCTTTTAAGCTTATATAATCAAGGGAAAAATGGAAGAGAAGGAGGGAGAGTGAACGAGTTTGATCAACACATTGGTTAATTGTGACTTAGAAGGAACTATATGAGTAAGTGGATGAGTTTTGACTACATCTTTTTTGAATTTGGAACAAATAATGTAACCATTGTATCTCCCATGTTAAAGAGGCTAAGATGCGATACTCAATTTTAATTGATGAGCCAGAAATAGTTACTACTACGAATAAAACATTTCACTATAGTTAAGAGCATGGTTTTCAAGATCTCGATCTAAATCTTAAAATATTAAGATTTTACGATTTCACTTAGCCCCAACGATTCGGATCTTAGTTAGAATCGTGCGTTGTAGCTTATTGTGAAGAAAAAAACCCGTAAAATCATTGATTTTGTGCGACCTTTGCCATCTTCAACCATAATTGGCTGTTTTCCAACCACCATCATTAAAAGGTGAGAAGAATGACAAGATTCAGAGACACAACAATTACGATTCAGCGGGGATAAATTTATGTCTTTTAAAATGACGTTTTAGATTTAGGGTTTAGAGAATAAACTTATCACTTGTAGGGTTTGTTTTAACTACTTGACTTATGATAATCCTACTAATTGACCATATATGTCTCTAATCTCTAAACATCAACAAATGTTCAATAAAACTTCAATCATAAATGTTTAAAGAATATAAAAAACAGTCTTCAATAGATCGAAGGATCATCAAAGGCAACACCATCAGTTGAAGATAATTTGTGTGAAGATCAAAGGAGCACTACAGCGGGTTTAAACCAAAAAAAAACAATATATGAAAGTAGTTCAAGAGTATATTTTCTCTGATTCAACAATATACCAGAGGATAACCTTCAAATTTCTAGGCCAAGAAAGGACTGAAGTTGAACAAGTTCTTTGATCTTAAATTTTTATCAAGAAATAGTTTGACAAACTTTATTTCTTCCATGAAAGTGCCTGCAAACACAATATCATCAACATAGACTGATAAAACTGTAAAGAATTATCGTAATACTTGACATAAAGAGAATGGTCTTCTTGTGATATTTTGTAGACCAAAGAAATACGAGAAGAAGAAAGTTTAGAATTCTATTGACGACTAGCTTGCTTCAATCCATATAAGCACTTTTTCAATTTACATACTTTGGTTTTTGACTCCCGCCCTTTTGCATTCGCCACTAATAGTCTCTTATCCTTTCCTCTAGCATCCATCCAAAATTGGCTTACTTCTACCTCATGGCTGAATTTGATCCTCTCCCTCTCTCTCTTTAATTGCTTTATCACAATATTCAAAATCATCTTTGTCCTTACTCAAACACATAGATATGCCAACCATCCTTCCATCAGTGTCCCTAATATCACCAACATCATCAAAGTTAGGCTAGATATGACAAAAATACACTACATGGTCAAAACTCTTTAAGATTTACGTTAGAACCTATCAAGTCATTGGCCATATCATTCCTTCCTATATGGATGATACGATCGGTCCTTTTCCCAAAGAAACCGATCTTAAACTTTGGTCACATATTAATGCAGTTGTCCTATAAAGAACCTATGAGACTATATCTGATGATTTGCCTAACTTAATCATCAAACATGATTCAACGATTGAACATTTTTGGCGTCGTCTATTTGAAAAAAAAATGACAGCAAAAGTTCAAGGGCATTTTATCTAGAACAAGAATTTTCACGAGTACATTCAAACAATTTTCTAATGTTTCATTGTATTTTCAACATAAGAAATTGATCACTAATCAAATATCCAATGTTGGTGCTCGTCTATTAAATGGGTGATTGATACTCTAACTTATTTTTAGATTGAAGATACACTCCCAACTTTCATCAAAGCCCACTCAATGATAGTTTTAAAGGAAATATCAAGGTAGATAAAGGCAGTAATCATCATGGAAAATTATGTGTTTTTGGAATCTCAAGATGATAATTGTGTTGGCAATTCTTCTCATCATCAAAATTATAACATCACAAATGGTCGTTGTGATACGGTGGGAGAACTGACTTAAGGGTTTTGCGTTTGATCGCAAATGTTGCGGTTAACAAGTGTCGCCACCGACTTTTCTTTTATCCAAAAGGAAAGGTGAAAAAGCACAGGAAAGACCTTTGAGATTGTTTCTTGAGTTCGGGGGGTAGATTATAAAAAGGGAAGGTATTAGAACCCTTTTTATCCATGGTTTTCCATGGGCTCTTAGTTACTTGCTAAATCACTTGCTATTGTTTGAAATTGTGCTTTGTGTGGTTTTTGAAAGTATTTTGTAAAGTGGCCATTGTTTAGGCAATCTTTGTAATGATTCTCGTTCGTAAGAATGTATACAAAAATGTTGATCTTTTTGAAAATGTTTTCAATTTTGTAAGATGTTTTGAAATGTGTAGGTGTTGGTTTTGAAAATAGCAAGGATGTTTTGTTTTGAAATGGAGCAAGTAACTAAAAGCAATCTACCTACTCAAATGTCTTTCTTGTTCATTTTCTTTTCCTTTGACATTGTTGTCTTACCATTGATTTGGTAAGCAACCCTATCTTTGAATGTAAACGGGACGAGCGTGGGTCATCGTATAGTCATGATTAGTAATGTTTCAAGGTATCTTATCATTTTTGAGGGACTAAGATCATTTTGTAAGGTAACTTTGAATAGCGTCATCGAGGGACTATGATCTTGTATTTGTTTTTTTTTGCTAAGACACCTTACATGCGTAATATGACCATTTTTTTGTATAAGGCAAACAAGTGAGATAACCCTAGGGGTGTTTTGTGTGCACGTGTGTCATTTTCATGCTTGATTTTGTCTTGAATTAGGGTTTTCTATTTGATTGGTTTTATCTTTCCATACAAACCCTAATTACTAGCATTTTATGTAAAAGCGATAAATTGCGAAATTTAAAGTTACTACGCTATTACAATATTTGTGGGATGGGGTATACAATTTATGAATGGGGATTGCAATAATATAAACCTAATTAATCTATTACAACCAAATTGAATATGTATAAATATTGGAATAAATAATATACAAGATGAGTTAAATATGCAAAGATGTGTAAATGCAAAGAAGATTTTTGTTTGGTTTTTATGTGAAAAAGTTTTAACCTAAACCTAATAAATAAATCAAGATTAACTTAAATCAATTAAGAAAAGAAATTATTTTTCAAAAAAGTTTTTTGAATAAACCCTAATTCTATTTGATTAAAAGAAAATAAATTTCTTTAAGAAAAAGTAAGTATTTTTGTATTTTTTGTCTTGAAAATAATATATGGCATTATGAGGTATTTTGGTCCTTTTATATTAAAATAAATATTTAATGGGTATAAAGAAAAAATAAATATTAAACTAGTTATAATTTAATTTACAAGTTTATTTAATCAAAATAGATGATATATAACTAAATAAAAATATTTTATGTGAGAAAAATAAAATAAAACAAGTCAAAATATAAATCTATCATTTTCATATTTTTTGTAATTTTTAATATTAAGAAAAATATATTTAATAAAATAAAATGAAAGTAAAATAAATAAATAAAATTATATTAGGCCAGGGGTGTTAAAATTAAGCAGGAGGTAGGATGTTAGAAAAAACACAAGGCCCGTGAAACTGAAGCCCATGCGCTGCAAAACAAAACAAAAAATAAAAATATGAGAAAATTGCAAAAGGCAGCGCGCTGAGGCTCGAACCCATGACCTCTAGCATTTTTGCGCGCTGCCTTACCACTGGGATGGCTGTACATCCGTTTATATAAACAAAAGCACAAATATATATTAGAAAACGCCTTCTGAAGGCAACTTCATCTTCAACTTTGAGCCATGGTCGGACCACCTGTATCTCTCTCATTTCTCCATAAAAATGGAAAGTCCAAACATGAAAAATTATGGTGTTTCTTCCCACGAGTTCAACCATATAATTTGTGTAAACTAAAAGTCAAAGATCAAAGCTAATTTTACTTGCCCTAATTTGAAACCTAATTTTTACAGAAATTTCAAATCCAAAATTCTCTATACACAGTTAATATAAATGAAAACTATGAACATGGTTAGCTTTAGGGCAAGGATATCTATATTTTGCTTTCAGAAATCAGGACCAAATGATGTTTGTATGAAGAGATAGAAGTTTGAGTTTTCACCTCTTGCAGCTGGGATCGTGAATGGAGTTTGAGAAGTTTTGAGAAGGCCTGAGGATCTATTTAGCTTGTCTGGCCTCCCTGAGTGTGTTCCAATCCTTAATTTGTCTGGAAATTCCCTGAATCTCTCTACTTAAGTCAACCTGCAAGCTTGATATTTGAAAATGGTGGATTGTGGAGGAGGAGTTACAGTGAGGGAACACGGGTCTGGATCACTTAGATATCATGTATATTAAGTGTTTGGGTGGTTAAAACTCAATACGCACGAGTGGATTTGGAGATGGCTATGTAAGGTTCAAAACTATCAAGCTATG